GAACCGGGTAGTGAAGGGCGAGGCATAAATCCAATCGCCTCCTCCTCCTCTTCCTGTTCCTCTTCTTCTTCTTCTGTATTCTTGGCGCTAGCGGGGGGGGGGACAGTGGGAGGGCTTCTATTGTCCTGGCCCCACTGGTGGACCTCCTGATGGCACCTGGTATTTGTGGCCACTGTGTGACAGAGTGTTGGACAGGATGGGCCATTGGCCTGATCCAACACTGGCTTCTCTTTAGGGTTGCCAAGTGGCACTTACCCTACCGGCGGGGGACTCCAGTTCGGCTCCCGGTGTGTGCCGAACTAGAGTTTTCCCTTGTATGGCTGTGGCCCCACCCCCAGCATGCCCGGCGTCATAACGTCACTTCCCTGTGATGTGCACGCTGGGGCGGGGTTCCCCCCGGGGCCCGATTCCCTGGCGTCGGGGAACGGGCCTCTGGGGCGGGGGGGATTTCCGCCCCCCCGGGGGGATTTGGCAGCCCTACTTCTCTTATGTTCTTGTATGAGGGCAACCGATAGCAAGCCTCACAATTATCTTCTGCTCAGGATGTGAACTGCTCTGCTCGGAAGGGGAGGGGGAAATCAGAGGGAACACTGGACTGGGGAGGCCTGTTTAGGAATCCTCCTCTCCTCTCCTCTCCCCCCCCCCCCCCCTCACTTACCTCTGCTGTACTGAATGCTCACGGCGATGACCAAGCCCAGCAGCAGCAGGAGCACAAAGAGGACGACGGCGCACAGGGCCAGCCTCAGCTGGGTTCGGGAGCCCAAGCGACTCAGCAGGGGGCCGCTGCCCTTCCGAAAGCCCACCTTGAAAGCAAAAGCGGAGACAGGGGGGGGAAAGGGAAGAGAAGAGGTGAGGTGCTGGATTTGAGGCCTGCCCTGCCCTGATATGGACGGTTCAAGCTAACCAGAGCTCATCAGACCGCAGGAGCGAAGTAAGGTCGGCCCAGGTTAGTACCTGGATGGGAGGCCGGCAAGGAAGGCCAGGGTTGCTACGCACCACCTCTGTTTTTCTCTTGCTCTGAAAACCCTACAGGGTCAGCCCTGGTTAGTGCTTGAATGAGAGACCAGCAAGGAGGAGGAGGAGGAGGAAGAGGAAGAAGAAGAGGAGGAGGAGGAGGAGATCGGTTTTATACCCGGCCCTTCACTTGGAGTCTCAGAGCGGCTTACAGACTCCTTTCCCTTACCCTCCCCACAACAGACACCCTGTGAGGTAGGCGGGGCTGAGAGAGCTCTCTCGAGGACTGTCCTTGAGAGAACAGCTCTGACAGAACCAGGGCTATTTTGGGGCAGGAACGCACAGGAACGGAGTTCCGGCTGGCTCCAGAGTTGGCCACGCCCAGCAGGAACTCATTAGCATAATAGGCCACACCCAACAGCAGAAACTAATTAGGATTGGCTACATCAGGGGTGTGTGGCCTAACATGCAAAGGAGTTCCTGCTACAAAAAAAGGCCTGGGTTTTGACAACAAACAAGGTAAACAGAATAAGAAGCAAAAGGTGGGTGTGGCTGGATAACCACATTTCTGGTAACATGGGGGTGCGGCCTAATGTACTAATGAGCTGTGTGGGCAGGGGTGTGGCCTAATATGCTAATGAGTTTCTGGTGTTGGGTGTGGCCTATTATGCTAATGAGTTCCTGCTGGGCTTTTTCTACAAAAAGAGCCCTGGACAGAACTATGGCTTGCCCAAGGTCATCCAGCCCCAAATACACAAATTCCACTCGTAGAAAACACCATCAAAGATTGCCAAAACAATATACTAAACCATTATAAAGTTGGTGGTGTCACAACAACAACTCCTTACACTATGAACTTTGTGGTCAGTTGAAACTGCTTAAAACAGGTTCCACTCACACAGCCGGCAAACTGAAGAAGTCGAAGGAAACGCATCTTCCAAATATCTAGAATGGGCGTCTTTGCAAAGGCTGCTTGGAATATGGGCTCTTTTTGTAGCAGGAACTCCTTTGCATATTAGGTGACACACCCCTAATGTAGCCAGTCCTCCTACAGAGCTCTTCTTACAGGGGCTACTGTATGCTCTTGGAGGACTGGCTACATTAGGGGTGTGTCGCCTAATATGCAAAGGAGTTCCTGCTACAAAAAGACTGAGTACATGGACTTTATGTCTTATCTTCAAAGGAGGAAATGGAAGGGAAAGGAGTTTGTAAGCCGCTCTGAGACTCCAAGTGAAGGGCGGGGTGTAAATCCAATCTCTTCTCTTCTCTTCTCTTTTCTCTTCTCTTCTCTTCTCTTCTCTTCTCTTCTCTTCTCTTCTCTTCTCTTCTCTTCTCTTCTCTTCTCTTCTCTTCTCTTCTCTTCTCTTCTCTTCTCTTCTCTTCTCTTCTCTTCTCTTCTCTTCTCTTCTCTTCTCTTCTCTTCTCTTCTCTTCTCTTCTCTTCTCTTCTCTTCTCTTCTCTTCTCTTCTCTTCTCTTCTCTTCTCTTCTCTTCTCTTCTCTTCTCTTCTCTTCTCTTCTCTTCTCTTCTCTTCTCTTCTCTTCTCTTCTCCCAGATTAGAGTCCGTGCACTTAACCACTGCACCAAAAAGCCCAAGACTGTTGTGCAGAGGTAAACAATAGTAAACCACCTCTGGACGTCTCTCTTGCATGAGAACCCTACAGGGTTACCGTAAGACGGCTGCCACTCGATGGCATTTTCCACCCCCCAATCGCCGAGAGTTGCCTGATCTAATCAGATCGCAGAAACCAACCAGGGCTGGCCCAACCTAGTGAGTTCATAGCAGCTATGAGATCCGAGCCAGAGGCTTCTCTGGGTGTAGGGCTCGGTCTTGGGTTCGCCAGCCTCCAGGTGGTGCCAGGAGGTCTCCCGAAATTACAACCCCTCTCCAGACTACAGTGATCAGTTCACCTGGAGGAAACGACGACTTTGGAGGGTAGAATCTGGCATTGCGAGGTCGCAGCCCTCCCCTCCCCAAACCCCACCCTCCCCTGGCTCGACCTCCAAATCTCCAGGAATTTCCCAAATGGGAACTGGCAACCTTATTCAGAGTTCTCAAAGAGTTTTCAGAAAGGGGGGGGGGGATAAGCAAGATTTTTTAAAAAATATATCTCCTCAGATCTTGGAAGCTAAGCAGGGCCGACCCTGGCGAGCAGTGTTCCCTCTAAGCTGAGTTAGTGTGAGCTAGCTCATAGTTTTCCAGCCTCCGGCTCACACATTTTTTATCTGAGCTCAGGAAGAATGGCTCCAGAGCAAACTAATTTATGCAGAAGCCAAATGGCTCACTCACACCCAGTGTTCCCTCTAAGCTGAGTTAGTGTGAGCTAGCTCATATTTTTTTTAGCCTCTGGCTAACACATTTTTGTCTCAGCTCAGGAAGGATGGCTCCAGAGCAAACTGATTGATGCAGTAGCCAAATCTCTCGCTCACAACTTTAATGCCAGGAACTCACAAAGTAGAATTTTTGCTCATGAGACTCCACAGCTTAGAGGGAACATTGCTCACACCTTTAATGCCAGTAGCTCACAAAGTAGAATTTTTGCACACAAGACTCCACAGCTTAGAGGGAACATTGCTGGCAAGTACTTGGAAAGGAGACCTCCAAAGAATACCAGGGCCGGGAAGAGAAGAGAGAGAAGAGATTGGATTTATACCCCGCCCTTCTCTCCCCGAAGGAGTCTCAGAGCGGCTTACAATCTCCTTTCCCTTCCCCTCCCCTCTCCACAACAGACACCCTGTGAGGTGGGTGGGGCTGAGAGAGCTCTGAGAGAACGGCCCTTGAGAGAACAGCTCTAAGAGAACTTGTGACTGACCCAAGGTCACACCAGCAGCTGCACGTGGAGGAGTGGGGAATCAAACCCGGTTCTCCCAGATTAGAGTCCGCGCCCCTAAACACTACACCAAACTGGCTCTCTGCGTCAGTTAAAGTGGGGAGGGAGGCGAAGCTCAGAGAGGTCCCTGCCTCCAGCCTTGGAGAGCCACTACCAGCCAAAGCAGACGAGACTGGATCAAGTGGGTCAGGCCGCCCCTCGTACAAATCCCTCTTCCTGTGCTGTGTTGGCTCATCCATCTTGTCTCCCCTGGCGATGCGCTCCCTCCCCCTCGCTGTTTGGCAGATTTATCAGCTGACAACATCTGCCAGGCCCCGAGAGGAACGGAAAGACTCTCGGAACAGCTCTGCTTGCCCTTGAGGGGAAATGGACTTCCCGGCAGCCTCCAGTTGCAGTCGCCGGGGACGGAGGTATACAGAGCGCAAGCATCTTCCTATATGTATTCCTGGTTCAGAGTTTTAGCGCCCAACTACAAATGAGGAAAGGAGGGCTAAACGTTAAAGCCCTGGCTCAGTTTATATAAACAACAGATCAATGGGTTATCTGTTCCTGGACTGTACCATTTCATACTGCTCATGGGGGAGTGTCCACATGCTACACTGGGAACTCTAAGTCAACAGGTCAGGGAGAAAGCTAGGCTGGCACCCTTGGCCTTGAAGTTCAAATTTTCGATGCAAAGGATTTTTTTTTTTTAACAAAAAGGACGAGAAGAACTTTCATACCTCCTGCACGTAGGAAACCAGACCCAGAAACAAGGGAGTCCATTGCTCGTTCCTGAGCTCCCAAATCAAGGATCTCCAACCAGTGTTCCCTCTAAGCTGAGTTAGTGTGAGCTAGCTCACAGTTTTTTAGCCTCCGGCTCACATATTTTTGTCTCAGCTCAGGAAGGAGGGCTCCAGAGCAAACTGATTCAGCAGCCATATCACCTGCCCACAACTTTAATGCTAGTAGCTCAGAAAGTAGAAATTTTGCTCACAGGACTCCATAGCTTAGAGGGAGGAGGAGGAGGAGAAGAAAAGGAGGCGTAGGAGGAGGAGGAGAGGAGGAGGAGGAGGAGAGGAGGAGGAGAAGAAGGGGAGGAGAAGAAGGGGAGGAGGAGGAGGAGAAGAGCAGTCTCCTTTCCCTTCCCCTCTCCACAACAGACACCCTGTGAGGTGGGTGGGGCTGAGAGAGCTCTTTCGAGGACTGCTCCTGAGAGAACAGCTCTGAGAGAACTTGTGACTGACCCAAGGTCACGGCAGCAGCTGCATGGTGTGGGCAATCAAACCCAGTTCTCCCGGATTAGAGCCCGCGCTCCTAACCACTACACCACAGTGGCTCCCGACACCTTTCCTGGTAGAAGCTAAGTGTTTTTAGAACCCGGGAACGGCCAGGTGCGGATTTTCCCCAGCGAGGCTTCTCATTGGCCGCTGGAGAACTGATCGGCTGTGCAGATTTTTGAAAACACGGCTTCGGCAGCAGCTGCCACTGCAGCATATGGATCTTCACTGTGTGACTGAAGGTAGCTATTTTGTGACTGGTCCCACCACCTGCGGCAGCCTTTCGGCAGCAGCCATTTGCGGGCTGTGACCACCACACTGCCTCAGAATTCTAAAGGTGCCCACAGGGTCAAAAAGGCTGAGGACCCCTGCCCCAAAGCATGATTGGAGGATTGGGTCCATGATGTCTGAACTGGGCCACTGTCGGGTCACCTTCTTCTGGGAAGACCACACCACCCAGGCATACAGACAGGTATGAGCTCTGTGAGGAAGTGGAGAGGGGCCATTTATACCGATGTTCTCCTTAAAAGGGGATTACACAGATTGATGGCGGATAGGTCTGTCAGCGGCTACTAGCCACAGTGACTAAAGGGAACCTGCACGTTCAGAGATGGTCAGTCCCAATGCCAGGAGGCAACATCAGGGGAAGGCCTTGGCCTCTATGCCCTGTTGTTGGACCTCCAGAGGAACTAGCTGGTTGCCATGAGAGGCAAGATACTGGACTAGATGGACCACTGGTCTGATCCAACAGGGCTCTTTCTTATGTTCTCATGTGCTGTCTGAAGATCCGGCACCATTATCTGGATGCACACAAAGGAAAAACAGTGTGCCTCCGTTCCAGGGTTCAGATCTAGAACACATGAAGAAAGAAGGGAATGCAAGGAGGTACTGATTCCCTTCCCAGATCGTTCCAAAGATCTGCCTCATCCAAGACTCCGGCTTCAGCATCAGCCAGATGCCGAGAGGCTCCCAAATGAAGCCTGACAGAAGAACATAAGCCATGTTGGATCAGGCCAATGGCCCATCCAGTCCAACATTCTGTGTCACACAGTGACCAAAACCCAGGGGCCATCAGGAGGTCCACCAGCGGGGCCAGAACCCACTGTTGCCCCTCAAGCACCAAGGATGCACAGCATCACTGCCCCAGACAGAGCGTTCCATCTATACCTTGTGGCTAACAGCCACTTATGGACCTCTGCTCTATATGTTTATCCAGTCCCGTCTCGAAGCTGTCTATGCTTGTAGCCACCATCACTTCCCACAGCAGTGAATTCCACGTGTTAATGACTCTTTGAGTGAAGAAGGACTTCCTTTTATCTGTTCTAAGCCTACCGCTCATTAATTTCATGGAATGCCTACGGGTTTTGTATTGTGAGAAAGGGAGAAGAGGACTTCTTTCTCTACCTTCTCTAACCCATGCATAATCTTATAAACCTCGATCTCGTCACCCCTCAATCTTCATTTCTCCAAGCTAAAGAGCCCTAACCTCTTTAACCTTTCTTCATAGGGAAGATGTTCTATCTCCTTAATCATTTTAGTCACCCTTTTCCACACCTTCTCCCAAGCAGCTATCTTAGTTCACAGGAACACAGAGGTTCTCTTCAGCTACCCAGGCCTGTAGCTTTTCCGCAAATGTATCCTCGGCGCTTTTGTCTAATCCTTAACTTTTCAGTCACAGACAGAACAAATTACCCTTGTTATCCAACTACCCTGACATTTCGAGAGGGGTAATTTGGCCAACATCAATTCCCTACCAACGGCTTCGCTTGTCACAGCTGGCGTTTAAAGACCTAAGCTGGGTCGGTCGATTGTCAAGAGAGATCTTCCGTAACCATTTTCCCTGGGTGTCTCAAATTTTTTATTTTTGGATTTTTTAGGGTCCTTCCTATTCTTTTGAAGAATGCCTAAGCAATGTCTACCTGGATGGATTCCGGTTTTTAAGGATTTCACGGAGAAGCACTGCATCATCCTAAATGAGATATCTGTCTGAGATGATTAGATTTGTCCCTGAAAAATCTCCCCGGTTTCCCCCTGAGGATTAAAGTTGTAATAATTATCAATCACGGGTGCTACCGGGGGCCTTTGGAGGGCAGTGGGAGGGTCTGGAAAGAGCAATTTTTCATTTTCCTTTCTACAAGCTCTTTAGAACTCCCTTCTTAGCCAGAATCAGCCTTATTCATCGCCTGTTTGTTCATCTCTCTCTCTCTCTCTCTCTCTCTCTCTCTCTCTCTCCCTCCCTCCAGCCTCTGCAACCAGCACCGGCCAAGTAATTATGCAAGCACCAGAGCCAGCGCCTTTATTATTAATTTAATATCATAATCCAGTTGCCAAGCAGCAGCTGGGACGACTCCTCTGGGAAGTTACGCGGATGCTCAGAGAATCGCATCCAAGAGCAATGCGTAAATCGTCTGCACGGTGCGCTTGCACGGCACTGCGTGCCGGCCCTGGAAGGCCGGATGCTTCCTACCTCCATACCGTCCGGAGAGGTGCTCCCATCTGCCGCGGCATCTGGAGCGTCTTCATCCTGGAACACAGCTCGCTTGTACTCCGCCATCTGAAAAGGGTGTTGGGGGGGGGGAAGAGGAAGAGGCAGAGAACAGACCGGTCAAGAGTCTCAGCCTCAGTCTTAAGTCACATCTCCTCTGTCCCTATTAAGCTACTTCAAAAATCCACGGGGATGGCCAAGAGTCTTTCCCCAAGGGCACCCTGGGAATTGTAGTTTTTGTAAAGCGGCTCTCGGGGAAGGGAACCCTGAGGTGAATGTCACAGAGAGATTTCAGCCTCGCTCGCTTTGTGAGTCAGAGCTCAGGGTCCGGACACTGAAAATCATTTCTTTTTTCCTGCCTGGCACATGAACCGTCCCTATTTCAGACCGCGACTGAATTGCCGGTGATGAAAAGCTGGGCGCTGTCCAAAACGCACAGGCTGTACAGTGTCGTTGGCTAAAATACATCCGCTTTTGTGCTCAGTTGTTCTCTGTGTGAGGGGGTTTGGCCCACTTGCAGGGATGGAGGAACTCCTCCAATGTAAGAAATAACCCGAGCAACTGAAACAGCGGGTGCACGGAGGAAAGAATCGGTATCACAGAAGAAGAAGAAGAAGAGAAGAGATTTGGATTTATACCCCGCCCTTCACTCGGAGTCTCAGAGCAGCTTACAAACTCCTTTCCCCTCCCCTCCCCACAACAGACACCCTGTGAGGCAGGTGGGGCTGTGAGAACTGTCCTTGAGAGAACAGCTCTGACAGAACTATGGCTTGCCCAAGGTCATCCAGCAGCTGCAAGTGGAGGAGTGGGGAATCAAACCCGGCTCTCCCAGATTACAGTCAGTGCACTTAAGAGAGAGCCAGTTTGGTGCAGTGGTTAAGTGTGTGGACTCTAATCTGGGAGAACCGGGTTTGATTCCCCACTCCTCCGCTTGCACCTGCTGATGTGACCTTGGGTCAGTCATAAGCTCTGGCACAGCTGTCCTTGAAAAAGAGCAGTTTGTGTCAGAGTTCTCTCAGCCCCACCCACCTCACAGGGTGTCTGTTGTGGGGAGGGGAAGGGAAAGGAGTTTGTAAGCCGCTCTGAGACACCTTTGGGTAGTGAAGGGCGGGATATAAATCCAATCTCTTCTTCTTGTTCTTCTTAAGCACTACAGGAAAGGGCTATCTGTGCTAGAAACCACAGGGTTGATGGGTTTTACAGTTGTCAGGCTCCAGGTGGTATTACAACAAACAGGACCACAGTGTGTAATAGCCAGTGAAACAGTAAATCACCGTGTACAATTAACCAATCTTTGTTGGTTTTTATATGCAAAGTTGAAAATTGAATTATTAACAATAACACTACAATATGTGATATAAAGCTTAGCAGTACATACAGAGTAATACAGTACTAGTTACAGACAAACGACGGAGTTCTAGTACACCATCCGTTTGCGTGTCCTTCATCAGGTTTGTCATTCTGTACTTATTTCTTCATTAGAATGAAGTGCTGCAAGCCATATTTCAAAATGCTAATTCTTATACAATTTTTGATGTACGCTACTGCGCTTAGATTCTGGTGACTGGGGAGCTTAGCCAATTTTTCCCTTCTGGGGACTGAGGGAAGCTTAGCCAATTATGATATGCTGTAGACCCAGTCACGTTAGAGCTTGCTATAGGAGCTCCCCAGTCACCAGAATCTAAGTGCGGTAGCGCACATCAAAAATTGTATAAGAATTAGCATTTTGAAATATGGCTTGCAGCACTTCATTCTGATGAAGAAATGGGTACAGAATGACAAACCTGATGAAGGACACGCAAACGGATAGTGTACTAGAACTCCGTCGTTTGTCTGTAACTAGTACTGTATTACTTTGTATGTACTGCTAAGCTTTATATCACATATTGTAGTGTTATTGTTAATAATTCAATTTTCAACTTTGCATATAAAAACCAACAAAGATTGTTTAATTGTACACGGTGATTTACTGTTTCACAGTCTCCAGGTGGTGGCTGAAGATCTCCCAGCATTGCATCTGATCTCCAGGTAGCAGAGATCAGTTCCCTCGGAGAAAAGGGCTGCTTCGGAAGGTGGGTTCTATGGTCTTATGCCCCACGGAGGTCCCTCTCCAAGCTCTGCCCTCCTCAGGCTCCACTGCCAACATCTCCAGGAATTTCCCAACCCAGAGCTGGCAACCCTAGTTTTCACCTGACAGGGGTTTTGTGCTTAAAAAAAACAAAAAAAACCCAAAACTGTTTCATGGGGGTGGGTGTCTGGCCAGCATTTGAAGAAGAAGAAGGATTTATACCCCGCCCTTCACTTGGAGTCTCAGACTGGCTTACAAACTCCTTTCCCCTCCCCTCCCCACAACAGGCATCCTGTGAGGTAGGTGAGACTGAGAGAGCTCTTGACAGAAACTGCTCTTTTTTCAAGGACAGCTCTGAGAGAACTATGGCTTGCCCAAGGTCATCCAGCAGGTGCAAGTGGAGGAGTGGGGAATCAAACCCGGTTCTCCCAGATTAGAGGCTGCGCACTTAACCACTACAGTTTATATCGCTGCAAAAGTGAAGTAGAAAGATGTTCTCCCAGATTAGAGTCCGCGCACTTAACCACTACAGTTTATATCGCTGCAAAAGTGAAGTAGAAAGATGCTAAACGTTCAACACACTACCTTGCTATTAACTCTTTTAAATTAAACAGAATCTTTCTTATAATAAAGATGTTCCTTTTTTTAAAGTACAGACTTGAATTCCAGAAGGTCTCTCGTCATAATAAGCTTGGGCTGGATCTACAAACTGCAAAAAGTGGCAGCCATTTTTCTAAAACACATTTACCTCAAAGGGAGACAACCCTGAAGGTAAGAAAAAAGTCATACACAAAAATGTTTACTATGGGTCAATGCTCCCGCTAAACTGTGAAGTCTTGTGAGCAAAAATTCTACGTTGCGAGCTAGTACTGGCATTAAAGTTGTGATTTGGCTACTGCAGAAATTAGTTTGCTCTGGAGCCCTCCCTTCCTGAGCTAAGACAAAAATGGGTGAGCCGGAGGCTAAAAAACTGTGAGCTAGCTCACACTCACTCAGCTTAGAGGGAATACTGGTCATAACTATCTTGTGCACAAATGTTAGATGACCCCCCCCCCTTTCTGTATGGCAGATGTGGGGAAAGAAATTAATCCTGAGTGAATACAGGACCGGTTTAGGATTATCTATTCCTATTAATCATGTAGAGGTTTATTAGTTGTCTTGACTTTCCATATTTTATCGTAACAGATTGAGATAGTGGGAAAACTCCCCCTGGCCAGTTTTCATGTTATTTGAAAAACAGCTGCTGTCGGCAACAAGATAAGGACTTCACCTTCTGATCAGGAAAAGAGTTTTATTATTCAAGTCCTCCGAATGCACTATTTCTACTTGAAAAGGCAGGGGGGAAACCCATAACTTCTCCCCTACAGATATTGGCTCGTGTCCAGTAACATTACATTTTGATACACAACCTCTCCTATGAGACTGTGTGCTTTTAACAGCCACCCGGCAGGCAGAAATAGAAGAAGAAGAAGAAGAAGAAGAAGAAGAAGAAGAAGAAGAAGAAGAAGAAGAAGAAGAAGAAGAAGAAGAAGAAGAAGAAGAAGAAGAAGAAGAAGAAGAAGAATTATTTATACCCCACCCTTCTGTACCTGAAGGAGTCTCAGAGCGGCTTACAAACTCCTTTCCCTTCCCCTCCCCACAACAGACACCCTGTGAGATAGGTGGGGCTGAGAGAGCTCTGACAGAAACTGCTCTTTTTCAAGGACAGCTGTGCCAGAGCTTGTGACTGACCCAAGGTCAAACCAGCAGCTGCATGTGGAGGAGTGGGGAATCAAACCCGGTTCTCGCAGATTAGAGTCCGCACACTTAACCACTACACCAAACTGGCTCAACTGATCATGACATTCCTAGCAGAGAGAGAAAGCACTGGAGGAAGGCGCGGCTCTGAATTCCGGCTTGTGTCAGACAGCTCTCACAGGCACACAGCAGCTGAGGAGGAGGAGGAGGAGACTGGATTTACACCCTGCCCTTCACTACCTGAAGGAGTCTCAGAGCGGCACACAATCTCTTCCCCTTCCCCACAACAGACACCCTGGGAGGTAGGCGGGGCTGAGAGAGCTCTCTGGAGAACTGCCCTTGAGAGAACAGCTCTGAAAGAGCTTGTCACTGACCAGCAGGTGCATGTGGAGGAGTAGGGGATCAAGCCCGGCTCAACCAGATTAGAGTCCACACTCTTAACCACCCCAAACTGGAGTTTTTGCCCATTAACTCTGAAGTTGCTGGCATGATGACATCACTTCCTGTGTGACACCAGCAACATGGCCTCGGCTTTCTGTCTGCTGGTAAGTCCCCCTGCCAGCCAGCTGATTGGTGGCTAGGGGGCAGGGCCTGGTGGCAGGGGGCCCCCACCTCCACCAGAGGGGTCTGGCAACCCTAGTGCCCACAAGCTCAAAAAGGTGAGGGGCCCCTGGTATATGCCATGAAGAACTCACCACCCAACTCAAACGTCCTGACTTATGTCATCTACTTCATTTATACAGTGCCTTCAGTCTCTACAGGGACCCAATGTTGTTTCTACCATTCTCCTACGACAACCCTGTGAGGTAGGTCTTCCAAGAGCCCCGTTCCCTCCACACCCACCCACCCACCCACTCTAACCACTACACCACGCTCTCCCATACAGCACAGGGATGGAGAGGCAAATATGCCTCCACCCTCTACATTGCACTACTCATTCTCCAGGCTAGATGAGCACTCACCTACTGCTGACTCTACGAACCTGCCAAGGATAATAAGGCTATTTTTCTAGCCTTAGTTCTCAGCGGCGTTGCACTCTCGCGCTATGGGGGAGGGAACTTGCTAATCATGGATTCCCTTTCAGGGTTCCTTGCAAGACCCCAGTTTAGGCCCTCGAACAGCAACCTGGGTGGCTCCATGCCAGACAGAAGGATAGCAAAATGAACATCAAAAGAGCCCTGCTGGATCAGACCAGTGGTCCATCTAGTCCAGCATCCAGTCTCACACAGTGGCCAACCAGCTCCTCTGGAGGGCCAACAATATG